ACGGGAAAGAAAATAGCTTTACGTGTCAATTGACGTTGTGAATGATCGGTAAGCGCTAAGATATCCTAAGTGCATCCTGTAGAGTTACAAGAAAAACGTCAACATGGAATGCGATTCATGAGGAGTGAGGTGAAGAAGGGCTTAAGCTTCCTTCAAAACTATATACAAAAGCGGGTACCCCGACCGTAATACCCGTGAATATTCCAGTGAAGACGTCAAGCGATTACAAGGCGCTTATGGATAAACTGGAAGATAAAGAAGTTTATAATGACATGGTGAGTATCCTAATAATCATTTGACAATTCTATTACAGAAAATTTATCTCAACAAAATTGGTGGACAATCCATTGGAGATTGCATTAGGGCAATCTTGAAAACGATCTTTGCGGATTCTGTGCTCATTCATGTCAACTGCCGATGAGTCAACGGAAGTTTTGCACCAGCTAATAGTAAGCTATGCCGGTTGATAATTGGTACGCTAGAAATAAACTGTGAAATAAATAATCTTAAATTACAGATTCCGTTCTCCAGAAGGATTTTCCAAATACGGATACCATTTCCATAATTGGAAAAATCCAACGTTGCATACAGAGAACGAGACCTCGGGGTGCTCATGAACCTTTGGTGCCACCTGCTTTGGATCATCTTTCACTGATAAGTTTTCTCGCAGCATATTCGTATTTTTTATTTCTAATAACATTTATGTTTTATCAGATGAAGTGAAATTATGAATCTCATTCCGTTTCTATTTCATACACGGTTAAGGGGAATGAAGATCCTGAAGATTAGAACCCGCTAGATGTATCATCTCGATCAATTTTAAATAACATTAAAAATAAACTTTTCAATATTTCCAATATGGTGTGTTATTTATATAAGACTTTTGGGCGCCTTTACATTGATAGTTGAAAGCGTTAGATCTAGAAGTCAGCTTTGCCGGTTGTTTAGAGCAATCGGCATAAAACATAGATGGAAGGTTTACAACTTGTGCCGGTCACCCACATCCACATTTACGCGGATCCTGACGGCCAGGGAGAAGCGTTGTGGTGCCAAAACAAACTGTGTTGCAACGGCTACATGACGATCGGAGTCTGCTGCAGACCGCCAGACACAGCTTCGGTGGCCATCCTGGACGATATGCGTCGATGGGCTAGCGACGGTCACTGTTTTATTCTAGGTGATTTCAATGTGCTTCTAATCGACTGGGACAAAAATCGCTGCCCACCTGGAGCGGACCGATTCTCTAAAGACCTCCTCACAGTCGTGAACCAGTTGATCCTGCATCAGTACTCCCGCGAGCCCACCAAGATCAACGATTCTGCCCAGACAGTCCTTGATCTAGTGTTATTCCCTCGAACATCGGGCGTCGACGCCATCAATCACTTCCAACCACTCGGTTCGATCCATCATTTGACCCTGTTGGTGCGTTGACACTGTGGAGCTCAGTGTCGTTCTCAACCCAATTTCTGGAAAGCGAACTATTATGAGGATCGCAGCGCAGTTCCTCCGCTGAATAACTACCTGCCCTCAGAGAGTAGACTTCGCTTGTACTACCTTCCGGGACGGCATTCTTGAATTGGTGACAGCCTTTCCTCCACCTAAACGCTTTCGGACGCACGCTATGGGACCCCTTGGTTTGACTGCGAGCTCCTTCAGAAGCTCAATCGTCGAAACAGGGCATGGAATGCGTTTCGCGCTCGTGGATCTAACTATGATCAATATAAGTCGCTGCTTAATGCTTGCTCTGCAATTAAATCCAGAAAACGGTGGGTGTACAAAGATACCCTGGCATCTGAAATCGCCTCTATAAGGAAGCGTTTCTACGCATATCTCTGTCGCCGCACGTGTGCAACCGCTGACCTACCATCCTTGGAGATTAACGGTGCCCTGGTAGAAAAGGATGTTGACAAGGCGGAAACTTTTGCGTAATACTATGCGTCTGCCTGTTTTACTGATACATCACCGAGCCCCCGACTGTCATGCTCTGCGCCTATGCTGCCTTGGCAAGCCATCTTGGTAGACGAGATGCGTGATGCACTTTCGGCTTTGAAATCATACTAGTCACCGGGACCTGACGGACTGCAATTTATCGTGCTGAAGGAGTTGGTGCCGGTCATTGCACCTATCTAGGCCATTTGTTCGAACAATCATTAGCCGAGGGGAGGTTGCCCACCGAGTGGAAAACCGTGATCGTACGCCCTCTCTTCACGGACGGAGCCCGTGGGGACTCCGCCAACTACCGCCCAGTCAGTCTCACCTGTGTGACCGCGAATGTGATGGAGCGTGGACTCGCCAAGTGACTCCGAGAAAATCGGCTACCGAACAATCCTCTGTGCCTGGAGCAGCATGGGCTCTGACCGCAGCGATCTTGCGTCGCGAATCTGGTACTTGCTCGGGAGCAATGGGAGTCTGCCAAGGCCGTTGGCCACAAAACGCACGTCATCTTCATTGACTTCAGCATGGCATTCGACAAGGAGCCATACAGACGGTTGTTAGAGAAGCTGATGGCTCACGGTGTTGCTGACCCTCTACTATTCTGGATTGAGGATTTCCTCGTCAGGTGGACGTTTACTGTCAGAGTTGCCCAGACCGAGTCGCGTCGCTATCATGTCACCATTGGAGTGCGACAGGGTTCTATCCTAGGGCCTGTACTGTTCCTCCTATTCGTGAATGACCTGCCCTCTCATTTAAACTCATCTTGCCTGCTCTACGCGGATGAGGTGAAACTGAAGAGAGCCATAAAAACACCGGAAGACCACCGTGCCCTCCAAGAGGATTTGGAAAAGTTACACCACTGGGATGATGTCTGGGAACTTCCAGTAAACTCCTTGAAATGCGCTCATGCGCCTGGGACGGAAGACACCGAAAATCGCTTATCTGATGAACAACGTCCCACTGCGTTTGATGGATACCGAACGGGACTTGGTAGTCATCATCTCCTCATCCATGAAGACCCCGTGCGAGCATTTTCTGCGATAAGGAGTATGCTAGGTGCCAGCCGTTGGTCGTTTGACGGCCTGTCGTTGACGGCCTTCAAGGAGTTGTTCGCCCCCCATGTTCACCCCCGACTTGAATACGGTGGACCCGTTGTATATACCTGCACGCTTTTCGGAATGGCCAACTTGGAACGGGTACAGCGCTACGTGACTCGACTAGTCGCAGAACTTCGCGGAATCACCTATGAAGGTCGGCTCTAGGCACTTAAACTCTACCCGGTTAGCTACAGGAGACTCCGCGTGGATTTGATCTATCTGTGGAAGATTCTTCGTGGAGATCTCCCAGGTAGAACAGGTGTACACTCCACAGTCACCGTAGAGTCACCAGGGGGCAAGTCTTGGAGATCTCCGGTCCCAGCTGGGACCGGAGATACGTACTATGATTCCACTGCGTGAATGCAACCGGACGCGCGGCCACAGGTTCACCCTTTGGAGTCTGGAGTCAACGGGTCTTCCTTTGGTCTATCGCCTTTCCCGGAGGGTAACTTCTCCCTGGAATTCACTCCCGTCGGATGTGGTGGAGGTGCAGAACGAGGCGCGATTCAAACGCCGTCTCGACGAGCACTTGGTGAG